TTGAATTTACTGAATTTACTTGACGCCTTATTTTTATTGTCTAATATGCTTATTCTTTTACACTTGTTCATGTTTCTTTAATCTCCTAACTGATTTTTGTTAAATATGAACAGGGTATTTTGATTGTTGGTTAAAATGAAGAATTAATTTTTTTTTGGAGTTTTCTTGGCTTGTGTTATGTTACATACTATGGTTTTTGATTTTAGGATTTGCAAAATTTGTAACTTCTACAAATTAGACTTTTGTTAGGAAACTTTTACGGATACAAAATATGCTAATTTTGTTTTTTTGATGATCTTGGATTTTACTCTATTCAAAGCCGAGATCTTGGTGTTTGTTGAGTGTAGTATCTTAAAATGATGGAGGAAAGACCAACCTATTAAAATTTGAGAGACTCATCAAGCAGTAATCCAAACAGTTACTTGTGATAGGTATAGATTTTTCTTTCTGTATTATATTATATTGATTTTGTGATATAATTTTGTTAGCGTTTTCTTTTCTTCTCTCCTCATGAAGTTCTTAATTATTATCTCTGATTTTCATCCTTTGTGTAAGATTTTTTGCAGTTATTGAATTATAAAGACATTGATGTTGAAACTTGAAGATCCTACACCATGTTTCTTTGGATACAAATGAACAATGGTGATTTTTGTTTATGGTAATCTAGATTCAATTGACAACTCTACACATACTTTTGAAGAGCATACAAGTCTGCTTCTTGCATATCTACATGATTATTCCTTTTAAATATCTTTGAGTAGATACTCTAGTTTTCATTTTGAAATATTGATAATGTGTTTTCTTAATAATTGTGATGGTAATTTGAAATTCTTCACTCGTAGTAAAAAACTTAATTTAATTATCGTATTTTAGATGATTTTTAAATTTATAAGTTTTGAAAAAGAACACACTAATTGACTTGGGTGTAGAAATGAACGTGTCTTGGTGGTATCTTGCACCACGACACCCTATGAATTCAAAACAAGGCCATGTAGCTAAGGTGTTCGACAAAAGTCCAGGCACCATGTCTCAGGCTCTCGTTGTTATGTTTCCTTGGTTCAAAAGATGTCTGCTCAAGTTGCTTTGAAACACCTCTATAAACCACATATAGGGGGTGGTGATAGAGGGGCACCAAGGATCCAGCTAGCCTTGTGCTCTCAAGCCTTGGCACCATTGGGCAAAACATAACTGTGTCTGTGTTTTTTTGGTGTATTAGTGTATGAGTGTGTTTCTTTGGTGTATTAGTGTGTGAATAGTGCGTATGTTTTGAGGTTTTTTTTTTTGTATATTAATGTGTATGTATTAGCTTGTGTTTCTATAATAGTGTGTTTTATTGTGTTTATTTGTTTGGTGTAATTTTGGTATATTAGTGTCTGTTAACAAAGTGTATAGGTGTGCATGTATATGCTGATTAGCGGGTGTGTGTGTGTTTTTTGGTGTATTAATGTGTGTATTTTTTGGTGTATTAGTGTGTGTGTTATTGTATGTTAGTGTCCATGTTTTTGGTGGATTAGCTTGTGTTAACACTACATGTGACATTTTTTGTAAATGTTTCTGTGTTTAGGTGTACCACTGGGTATGTACTTTTTGGTGTATTAGTGTGTGTATGTTTTGGATGGTGTATTAGTGTGTGTGTAGTGTTTGTGTTTGCGTGAGAGTGTATTTGGTATGTTGGTGCCTCTGTTTTTTAATGCAATATGTGTGTTTTTTGGTGTATTAGTGTTTGTTAACACATCGCGTGTGGGTGTGTATGTATTAGTGTGTTTGTTTTAGTGATAGTGTGCGCACACGTGTATGTTTGTGTAATAGCGCATGTACGTGTGTGCGTGTTTTTGTTGTGTTAATGTGCATGTTTTTTTGGTATGTTAGTGTGTTTAACACAATGTGTGTTGTGGTGTATTAGTTTGTGTATTTTTACGTTTGCATGTTTTTGTGTAATATTATTGTGTATTTGTTTTTGTGCAAGAGTAGTTGTAATAGAAAAGACCAACCTACTTTAATTACTCTATCCATTTACTTGCTTACATTATCTTATTTCTTAAATTTTTATTGCTTATTAAGTTTAGTATCTTAAAACGATGGAGGAAAGACCAACCTATTAAAATTTGGGAGACTCATAAAGTATCAATCCAAGCAGATGTAGATTTAGATTTATTTTCAGGTGAGCTGGGGACAAGTATAGATTTTTGCTTGAATATTGTATTCTATTGATTTTGAGGTATGATTCTGTTAGTGCTCTCTTATCTTCACTTCTCGTTTTTCTATTGAACTCTAAAGTTTTTAATTATCGTCCTGATTTGCACCTTTTGTTTAAGATTGCTTGCAGTTATCGGACTATATAGAAATTGATGTTAAAATTTCCAACACCATGTTGCTTTAAACACAAATGAATAATAGCGATTTTTGTCAATGGTAATCTAGGTTCAAGTGACACAACTGTAAATATACTTTTGAAGGGCATACTGGTTGGCTTCTTGTATGACTAATTGACTTTGTTTTGGTTATTTTTTAGTAGATGTTCTAGTTTTTATTTGTAAATATTAATGATGTTTTCTTAAAAATTGTGGTGGTGTTTGAACGTTTTACTATACCATTGTGTACGTATGTGTTTTGTGGAGGGTGGCCAATGTAGTTTCTTTCCAAGCCACTGCCTTGAGCATGTAGTCACACTAGTTAGCCTAGAATGCCTCTGATACTTGCAGAATAAGAGCCTTACTTTGAAGTTGTGGTAAGGACATGTTTTGCGAGCTGTGTTGTATTGCTATGTTTCTTTGAGAAATGGAAGCTACAAGGTTTTAATGACAGTTAGCTGTTACAATTTGCAAGCGCTTTGTGGTCAAATTATTGGTGACATACATTCAGAGAAACCACGATAGAGAGGTAATTAGCTCTTTATTTTCTTTGGTAACAGTGGAATTGACCAGGAGGGGAGGAAGATTGCAGTATGGGAATACATAAATGACAAACAATTAATTTTTTAACTTCATTTGGTTTTCCCTGCATCTTGATTAAAGTAGCTAGTTCTACCCTATGGAATGCTTTATTCAGCTTTGATTGCTGATTGATTACCATTTTTGTATGACACCAGGTTCTTGATCTAATGGTTCACATGCTGGTAACATTTCTTTTTAAATTACACCCTATGATTTCAACACAATTTCATTCTCTAATTTCTGTGCACTATCTTTGTCAGTCCTTCGCAGATCTGTGGGTTGATTTCCTTCTAAAAGAGGCTGAAGAAAGAGAAAAGATAGAATCCGCATAAGCTACCAATGGATCTAAAGGTAGACCAACTCAAAGCAAGTCCAAATGCTAGAGGTGCTGCCTCGCCATCACCCCAAATCAAATCCATTTCTGGAACCAAAGCCGGAGCCCCTTGTCATCCCGGGGAAACTTCTTGGAGTCTGACCATTCCGAATTGGATTTAAGAACAGTACCTCTGGCTTCATCTGAAAACAATGTCAAATTTTAAGACTGCTCCTAAAATACTAAAATCTTCTGTGATACGGAAAAAAAGGTGTAGTCCTTTTTTAAGCAATGCATGCAATTTGTTTAATCAATGCATTCACCCATTTATTTTAATAATAGGCATCAATGTGGACATTGATTGTTTATGGGGCCAGAGTTTTGGGCTCCCGATTGGGCATTTTCATTTGGAGATGTGGGGATTCAGATACCTCTATTACCCCCCTTCTCTTTAATTTCCTCTAATATAGTATTAGATGGATGACATGTAATTTAATTTTGAACTTGCCAATAGAGGTGTCCATGGCCGGGTCATGCCTGAGTAGGATTAGGCTACTAGCAACTCAACTTGTCATTTATTGGGCGTGCTTATAGGCTGGCTTTATATTTATATATATTTTGCCTTCATTTAAAAAGTTTGGAATATAATATTTTTATAAATTATATTTTTGAATTAAAGATATAATCAAAATAGATAAATTATATTTTTGAATTAAAAATAAAATCAAAATACATTTATCTTACGTGAGAGGAGTGAGGAATATCTAACTTATAAGATCAGTTATTTTTTGTTGTTGGGTCTTGGGCTGGGTTTTTGCAGGTGGGCTAATGTACCAAGTTTCAGGCCTGAGTATTGGGCCTGAAGAAATGCCCAAATTCTCTCTTAATGGATATTTGACTTAGATGGATCAACTATTGGGCTTATCAAGATTTTGGGCCCTATAACAGGTCAGTGGGCCAACTCCTGGTTGGGCAGAGAGGAGTGAGATAAATATGTGACGTAAGGTCAGTTATTTTTTTTTTGTCGGTTCTTGGGCTGGGTTTTTATAGGTGGGATAAGGTACCGAGTTTCTGGTCTGAGTTATGGGCCTGAGAACAGGTCCAAATTCTCACTTGAAGGATATCGGACTTAAATGTGGGCCAACCCCTGGGCAGACAGGCTAATGTGGCTGATTTCAGGCTGATTAATGGGCTTGAGGGCATGCCCAAGCCCCAGCCCTCTCTTAAAGGTAATTCAGGTTCGGGCTCAGATCTGAGCCCAACTATTGGCGGCATCAAATTTTTGGCTTATTTTTTTGACCGGAAAACAGGTCCACAAATCCCATTGGCCAAGCCGACCCATGGACACGTACTTGCCCATGACACATTCAGAGATGCCCTGTTAACTTAGCTAGCCGATCGGTTAGCTAAATTAAATTTCAAGATCTAAACTACTGCTCTGATCCCGTGAGGCCCACAAACACAACTCGCCTCTCAGGTAGGCTTACGTCCCACCCCATTGTCTCAACTCAACAAAAGAAAAACAAAACAAATAGGCCCATTAAACCTGCACTGAACCCTTGACTAGCGATTCGGCCTACAAGTCAGAATGAAGTGAGAACCCAAGTAAAATGCATACACATACAGCAAAACAACATCCCCAGCCCACTGCTGTTAGTAATACTTGTACACACAACACAGCTTAACGACTAGAGCCAAGTCATTTCAAATTCATCCAAATTGAGAACAATACCACAAAAAATGCAGCAGAAAAATTAAATTCAACCATGGCTCAGACAAATACATAAAGACCACGATCACATCCTGAAAGCTAGCCGCAACCAGAAAAGAGTACCTCAACTTCTCTACGCCTTTTTCTTGTCTTTCAATGGTCCTCTTGGAATTTTACTCAGAACCTTGGCATCAAACACGGCATACTGCTTCTTGATCTCAACCATTGCTTTCTCTGCAAAGGGATCAATCTTGTCCTCATACTTCTCATAGAGGACAGGCAGTGTGTGCAGTAACACAAAAGCTGTTGCATCAAAACCAACACCAGCTTAGAATAACAAATAGATAAGCAGATCTTCGAAATAAATAAATAATGTTCTATTGTCCTCACATATATAGAACAATGTCAAGAAATTGCACCAAGTCCCCACAATTGAGAGAACCCACAAGCCAGCAATAACCTGATAACCAAAACATAATCATCTAGAGTCAGCAGCTAAAATTCTCCAATGATTTAAAGCATGATGACTAAATACCTATTGGAACATAATGTGTACAACCAAAAAACAAGTGAGATACTTCACCAACAAAGCTATAAAACTAAGTGCTTAATCATTATTAATAGCCAACTTTCAAATTTGAACAGACACCAGAAAAGCAATTCAAGTTTTGTCGTTCAAGGATTACAGTATTGAAAATGCCAACCCAAAAAATAGCATTGAAACACATACACAGTGACAAGTATTTATTTTGTCACAAATTTGTCAGTGTGTATAGCATTGAAACCCACAAGCTCAATGGATACTATTGAAAATTATGAAAAGACAAGAAAAGAAGAATTGAAATACATACACAGTGACAAGTCCTTGTCCAGAACCATAAAATTAGGCCCAAAATTTAGTTGAAAATGAGTAGAATTTACTCAAACATTGAACATATGGGTTGTCCAGAATCAAACCAACACAGCCAAATTCAAGGATTATAGTATTGAAAATGCCAACAAAAAAATTAGCATGTTGCAAACCATTAAGGTGCAATATAACTCATTTATGGGTGAAGATCAAGCAAACATGTCAAGACAAAAGAGAAATCATAACAAAAATGGCATTCAAAGACTACAGAGGCAACTTTCATATGATGAAGAAAATATAGGAATAAACTGAAAATAAATAACATACAACTAGAAACTTCTTCAGATCTCTTCCAGAGGCAATATTTCGCAACACAGCAAGCGCTCGGTTAATTTCGACCCTTAGAGCAGAAGCAACCTCAAGGAATGGGTCCTCAGGAAGGCGAACTTCTGGGATACGCAGAGGTGACCTATATATCAAACAATTAGGCGCAACATTTCAACACAACCAATAAGTCATATAATAAGCATATGGTTCAAAGACCCACAAAGCTTACTTGTTAATAAAGGTTGAAGCATTGGACCACAAGAACAAGATTGCAAGCATGACAATTACGATGTGGCAAACTAGAGTAAGAAGGTAATACTCAAGCAACTCAAAGAGGAACCAGATTGCGGTCACTCCACCAAGTACAGCAGCAGATATTTTCTTGTTCCTCCACAAAAACACATCAGCAGCTGTTGCACAATGATTACAACAATTCAACTTTATGTGTAAATACAACCAAAACTTTTGAATACGACAGCAAATCACAGAATTATCTTCAATCTTCTTCATTTTCTGCCACTGTTTTCTGATTACTTTATCCCCATATCGAATTAACTGATGAATAACAGTGCCGACACACACATCACTGAAGTTTACCATGCTACTCACCTCAACTAACACAAAAATAGTATTTACAGATATGATTGAGTGGATCACCTGCTCAGAGGTCGTATATAGATAACTATCAAATTTGCAACTCAATCAATTTCTTTTTCACTTTTTCTAGAAATATATAAACACGCACTCTTGAATTAATCTGTTTTTTTAAATTTTCCTACATTTTACAGTGACTTAACAGACAGCAACCAGAAGAGCAAACTCCAACTTCTTCAAACCAAACATCTAAATATAGTGTACCAACCTAAAGGACAATTCAAAGAAGATCTGAAGGCACTTCAAGCTACACAAAAAGTTAATTCAGTATCCAAAGAAATCACTCCGTCTCTACTTCACAGCAATCACTAGATCTTAAACGTAGACATATTTATTCGACTCGGTTTGTGCGAGTCTATACTATTTCAACGGATCTATAGACATTTAAAACCTCCAAACCCCTAGAATATTCAATAAATCAGTAAGCACAATCGAACCAAAAACACGATATAATATATGGAGAGAGAGAGATTGCAACTGTACGTTTTCCTCCACCCAAGACCTTGTGAACTGGTTTCTCTCTCCCGAACAACCGCCAAATCTTGGCCTTCATTGAGGATGGCGAAGCCGCCTTCTTCTCGGAATCGGAGTCCGAAGACGAAGACGAAGACGAAGAATCGTCATCGTGAAACTTTTCCGTTATCTTTTCCAACAACGACTCTCCTTTCGAATCCGAATTCTCAGCGTGTTCAGCCATATCAACCACAGACAGAGCTCCGATTCAAAACCCTAAGCAAAAGTTCAGCGAATCGAACTGTGATTCGAATTATTATTATGAAACGAAAATAAAGGTCACCAAACAGTTCCTATGAGCTGTGAAATGAGGCGTATGTTGTGTATGTCTCTGGCTATGTACGCGTACTCAAGAACGAAAAAGTGCACGAGCCTCAGCTTGGATACCGAAGCGGTTAGTGTGTATAGGGTTTTGAAATTTTGGGGTTTTCGAGGTGTAACGGCGTTAGATTTGACGGCCAGGGTTTGATAAGGAGTGTGAGCGGTGTGGATTGTCTGGTTGGCTGTGGTGTTTTTTTATGGTTGTGGGGTCACCGGCCTGGTAAAGTCTTGGAGGGACACGTGTTGGACGGTTACTTTATGTAGTCTGAGATTGGGGGATTTCACACATCGAGGTGGGCTCCACATACCTGGAGATGTGTATAGAACAGACGCAGTTAACGGTCTGGATGGTCTGGGCCATTGATAAATTTCTCCCCCTTCTCTTACTTTTAATTCGATACAATGGAGTTAGGCTAATAATCGACCTGAGCTGCTCCAACTTAATTCAAATCCAATTTGTAAAGAATTAGACTCGTACTTGACACATTTTTTTTAAATAAATCGAGATTAAATATTTTTTTAATATTTTTTTAAAAACAAGTATAACTCAACTCATTTTTTAAATAAATCATATTTAAACAATTTTTTAAATTTAATTTAAAAAATGAACTCAAAAGATTCGGTGTGATTATCACTCCTACTAGATTAAGAGGGTCAAATTGAGTTGCCTCTGTTATATTTTCATTTAAGAGATTATTTATAATACATGAATAAAATTTATCTATAAATAATAAACTTTAATTATATTAATAATAAATAATTGATCATTGAATAAAATTACGAATAAATAAAACGGATAAAAAGCTGAACATGTATAAGTGTCTTTTCGGATCTAGATCCCTTACATGTAGTGAGTCGTCTTCGGAAAAATCTCATGACATGTTCTTAACGAATAAAGACGCACCCATGTTACTCAGGCTTGTGACTCTAAGTAAAATCAAATGTAAAGTCCGGATAAATGAATCAATCTCTTAACTTATACACCATTTAAATCAACACTCATATTTCACCGGAGACTTAAGATCCATATTAAAAACTTGAATTCAATTTGTCCAAACAATTAAAATCTTGTTATACCAAACAACTACATGTTTTTGCGCCCAAAAGACTTTGAACTCTTTCCCTCCCACTAGAAAATCTCTTTCCAGGCCCAGTTGGTGACATATACTGAGTTGTCACTTTTAAGAATATTAAATTATTGCCCATATATTAGTGAGCAACACACGTCTATGTGTACAATAAATTTCATTTGGATTCATAGAATTTGATTTATTATTAAAAAAAAAAAGCATATTAAATAAGACCCTAACCATGTAGCTGCACACAGGATAAAATATCAGGCGGGGTCACATGTGGCTGCCCAACTAGCTAGAATGCCACTTTTTATAAGTTGCGGTAGGATGGGCCATGGACCATGGTACAGCATGATTATATTACGTCTAAATAGTATTATATCAAAATTACTTAAACCATTTATATAGTAAAACAGACTGCTAACACAAAATATAACAACAATCCAAATCGCTTGTAGTGGCTATGGTTCCTCAACAATCTTCTCACACAGGTAGCGGTGTGCAGGACCTAGTAGTACCTTGTACCATACCTGACCCATTATCTATAAGTAATTTTATATACCCATTTGTACAAGTAAATGTCTATCTGAGTAACCTCTTCAAATAAATGTCTGTCGGGTAAAATAGTTCAAATTATGTGTTTTGTACGCTGTGAATTCATCCAAAAAAAATCCAAATCATGTATAATCAAATTCCCGTTGAATTATTTGTCAAACAGTGTCTGACTGATTAAACTAACTAGGATGCCAATCATTAGAGTATGACATGATTCAAAACTTTTACAATACATTTTCTCTTAAATTCTCTTCTTGGCACATCATCCACTTATATACAATGAATTCAACTTAAATATATCACAGATGACGTGTCAATATGAGAATTGAAAAGAAAGTGACCATAGAGAATCTCACTCGAGTTAAACACAAACCCACAAATTTTATGTTAATTTCTCACAAGACTAATAGATCTTATGAATTATCAACTTTAATTAGGAGATAAGACTTGCACCATTGGAAGCTGAGATTTTGATTGCTGCAAAGGTTGGTCCATCTGATTGGAAAGGCTAACTTTGCAACCCGTGCAAGCAAATGCCAAATTCACATCATGCTGAGATTTGGTGCTCTCTGCTCTGCTAGGGTTCAAAAGTGGTCACTGCCAAGTACTAGCTATCAAAATGTGGAGGCCAAGAGCAAAGCTTAAAGCAAGCAAGAGCGCACCAATACCATCATCTTCGCGCAGCAGTAATGCCTAAGTTAACACGAACTTCTTGATGTGCAGCTTGATCCGTACCTTCTTTTCAGAAGCCACTTTGAAGTGAAAGGTATGGTCCAATTTGCAAAAGAATTAAGAGAAAAAAACCCATACAGAAATGGGTCGGATATTTTCATGATTCACAGCTAAGAGCGCAACACATACAGAAAGGCCTTGATCAAAATACTAATCACAGTACCCCCGACAGCATGTTTAGAGTGTACCTGAGACTTAGCCGAACGCTTTGGCAGGAGCAGGGTTAGAAATGAAGCCACATGGACTTGGGATTTAAGTTTTTGTCAGTGAAGAAATAATGGGGTCAGAACTTTGGAGGATGTTGAGACCAGACCCTTTTCTGGTTCTCATTAACTAGAGTTTGGAGATTCTTGGGAAGATTTCTCATGCATTCTAGTGATTTTTATAACAAGTAACCTATATCAGTGGTAAACAGTTCGTCATAATGTAAGAAACCAATTCCCCAAAAAAACGAATAGTCAATTCTTAGCAACTACTTCATCCCATACTCCCTTGCAAAAACTCGCATTCCCATGTGCAGAAAATCTTCAACATGTTTGACTCAAAATCTAGGTACGACATAATCCAGAGGATCTGAATTGGGAGAAATAAACTATTTGAATGATGGGTTGGTCATAATCCCTATGTTGAGGAACATGAGAATGAATGCTTTGTTCAGGAATGAAATTCATGCATGAGAGGGTTTACATAGATTAATCCTTTTTTTATTTTAATTTTGAGCTGGAATAGATTACTAATTGATCATCACCTCAGCGTCTGATTTGTCCACTATATCAAAGTATGAGTACCCCGCATATCATAGAAGTGTCCCTGCCAATGTTGTGTGCCTCTACCTGTATTAACAAACAATACACTTTCAAAAGTGAGTAGCAAAAAGCAAAAAATACAACACAACTAATACAACTCAACAAAGTCTTCCCCTAACATTTTTGTTGGCTACGTGAATTTTATTTAATCATATACTCTGTTAAGGGTCATACTTTATATCAGACCACTAGTTATCATATTACTAATCAATGACAATGGCCTGGAATTTAAGCCATGATCCATGGATCATGGAAGCCATCACTTTGTAACGGGGTAATATAAGCTGCTGGAAATAATCAAACAGAACAAGTGTTTTTATGTTCTAGTGAATGTCAGTTGCCTACGAAGGTTTTGGCTTTTTTGATGCTAGAGAAACTGGAGAGCATCCAAGCATGCCTATTGTACATGGGTTTCTGTTCTTTGAAAATCTTACATCCATAGACAAAGCAGCAACGGAGCAGTGACATCACTTTACCAGCAGGAAAAAAACATGAATGGGCAACAGCAAAGTAATTACAGCTATCATATTTTTATTATTCTTTCCCAAATACAATTTCTATAGCCATGACCTACCAAAAAAGCAAGAAAGAAAGACAGGAGAAAAGAGAAGGAAAGAAAAGTTGAAACCATAAGGGCCCATTTGACGAGCCATAACGGCAACAACAACAAGAAAAGAAAGAGAAGAGAATAAAGCTCAAGAATTTCTTTGTTGATTCAAATCCATCCAATCAAATAAAAGTTATGGTCATGTATGAAAATCTCATACAAGAATATGCATTTTTAGCCAACAATAAGAAGTTAGGCGAATCTGGATCCGGGAAGTTAACCTATGGAGTCAGCTTTTACACCTACAAAAAAAAATGAAGGGAAACCCATATAATTTGGAAAAGTGAATAAGTGTCACCAATATAATAGGATAAATTTTCAAATGTTTGGGAGCAATCAGCCTGCCCATGCCCTAGATCCATAATTGAGTTTCACCATGGTTAACAAAATAAGACCCTATATAACTTAAGAACTCATGAAAATGAACCTAATGAGCCAGACATTAGACTAAACCAACATGATTAGAATTTAGAATATATACTTAATCGATACGAATATAATAGGAGGATTTCCAAATGTTTGGGGACCATAGGCCCGCCCATCCAGTGGATTCATTACTGAATTTCACCATGATTAACAAGGCCAAATGTACATCAAGTATTCATGACAATGAATAAACCAAACTAAAGCTAGAAGACTAAATAAGAAATACTGTATACTATTTTTTTTTTCACTGAATTCAACTGCTCACAAATAGATAATGCTCTTCCATTTCCATTTCCATTTCTCTACTCTATTATCAACCCAAATTCACAATTCATAAGATAAACATATGAAAATTTTCCAAGTCCATCATCCCTAATCACCACCCAATAAATTTAGACAAGTTCAAACAACCAAACAAATCATCCAAAGCCATGAACCACAATACCCATCATCTCCTCCGACCATCGGAGTACTGAGACAGAGGCACCACCTCCTGCAGCGGCGTGGACAACGGCGTCGGCAGCGGAGAGCTCCGACACACCGGACATGAGGCATTGAGCTTTAACCACGCGTCAATACATGTCAAGTGAAAGTAATGCTTACAATCCGGTAAAATTCTCAGCATCTCCGAGTTCTTGTACTCACACAAACAGATCGAACACATTGAATCACTATTTCCACCACTGATTCCACGGTCCTTGGAAAAAGCAAATCTCGGATACGAATTTATCACAGCTTGATCAAGACCAACAGCAACAATTTCGTTGTCTTCTTCATCATCGTCTTCTGCTACAAAAATAATGCGAGGTAAATAGATTCCATTGTCGTCGGAGGAGTTATTAGGGTTAGGGTTTTGAGATCGACGATAACGGCAACATATGTAGGAAGTGAGGAGGATAGTGGAGAATAGGACCAGAAAACCGAGGGTGATTGCGATGGCATAGCCGATGCCGAGTTTAGTTAGGTTTAGGGAGATAGAGGAGGTGTTTGGTGGTGGTGGTGCGCCACCGTATGCGAAGGAAAAGGTGGCGGAGGAAGGAGTGGTGGTGGACATTGGGAACTGAGTGGAGTAGTGGGGGGCTCCATTTGATTGGGGGAGAGAGAAAGGTTGGCGGGTTGCTTTAGCTGCTGCATTTAAAGCAGTGGTTTGGAGACAGAGAAGTTAATGGACAACGTGGGGTTGATGAAGATGGCTAGGTGGGTTTGGGCTGCTGTCTGGGTTTCGGCGATTATGGACCAGCCCACTTTAATTTTGGCCCAAGCTCTTGCTCTTGAGTTGCACTGTAGAATTCATAGACTTGTATAATCGGATTTGTACCGTTTTTTCCAGTTCCTGTCGTGTAAACCTCTTCCTGTGCCTGATGGATAGCTTTTCAGAAAAGATTACTTTCAAGACCAGAGGCCCAGATGAAAGTTTCAAGGACAATAGACCATATGAGTTTCAGAACGAGAAGCTGGGGAAGAGGAATCTTTCCTTTTTTCTTATTGATAGTCTATAAGTGTTTATTTTTGAGTGAGGTCGAGCTGTCAGGCTTATGATACTGAGTTTAATAGGATTCGTATTATGTTTATACAATTTTTTAGTAACTAGTGTGATAAGTGAATTTGAGGAGTCCACTCGTTATTTCTATGAACCCACATAGCTTAAAACGAAATCAAAAAAAATTGTGTCCCTTTCTCTAAGGATTGTATTCTACTTTTCTTTGGTTCTTCTATTTGAAATTTTAATATGCTCTTCTTTCGGGTTTATAATTCATTCAGACATTCTTGTAATGGGATATATAAGACTAGTAACATAATTAATCGTTGAGTAATAAAAAAAAAACCACACTTTTTTATGTTAAAGCTAAGGTTGTGGTGTGCTCCCATTTTGGCATAAATTTCTTTCATTTGCCCTTTTTTATTTGGTTTTATGTAAGTAAATTGATCCAAGCTAATACTCAGTCATCCAAATGATACATTCAAAGTTCAAGTTCAGGAATCAACGTATCTAAAATTAAGTAAACCTGTCAAACACTTATTTCCCTCAAATTAAGCTCCTTATAAATGAGAGTACGTACAATTCTATTTGAATAATACTTTCTGATTTTAAAAGTAAATGAAGATGGCCATAAATGGTTAGCAAATCCATATACATAAACTTATACATATGATTACCGTATCAGTAAATTAAGTTCATATAACATTTTTCGACTAAAAAATGCCAAGAAGGGGGAGTGGTGGTTGATTTTGTTCTTCAAATCAAGAGGGGGTTAGAACCTAGAAAGGAACTGCATTTGCTTGAGAAGAGGACTAAGAGTTTCCATTAGCTTCTCAGTTGGATGGTTGTGAATTCCCTCATAGGTTGTCATGACCATGCTCGTGTCCTTGGATAGCCTTTGCACCTGTTTCTTCACATTGCATGTGTGGTGTGTGCACCGATAGTAGCTCCTTCATTCAAGTTATTAAGTGCCAAGAAAAAAAAGAAAAAACAAAGCATATAAGTTAGAATCTTATTAAAAGAAAATATGAACAATGACTTTTTTCAAGTCATTGCATAGATCTCACGACAATACCAATACTAAATATTAATCATATTCTCGAGATTCTCGATTGCTCTTTTTAGTAGGATAAATATTGACATAATTGAATGCTAGGAGATGAACTCATTCTCCAAAGGAAAATATTATTTGAACTTAATTTGTGGACCTTATTTAAGAATCTAATGATGTACAACAATTAGATTGGTTGTGGACTTCATCTAACATTGAAACTCACAACTAATTTAATACTCTCTTCGTTCCTCAATATCTGTCGTTTAAGGTTTTTGCATAGAGATTAAGGAAGCTATTAAATAGTTGTAATATGAGTAGAAAATAATTATATAAGACTAAAATGCTTTTATTCAATATGTATTGGGAAGAAAAGGAATATAAAAGACACATAACCTCCACCTAATTTAATGCATGGAAAAGTTAAGGGTAAATTTAAAAAAAAAATATTAATTATATTTTGATTTCACTAAACGACATATATTATGGAATAAATTTTTTTTTGTAAAAAGACATATATATTTAGGAACGGAGAGAGTAGTTGCGTTGAAGCCACATCATTAGGTCTCTAAACGAGGTCTCCAAATAAGGACTCTATAACATTAATCTCATCCAAATATCTTTACTCTTTTGTTTTTTTTTAACAGTTAGGGGTGTCTGATTAGTTTGAGCGTACCTTCACTAGTCTCATTTCCTGTCTAGTTAAAGACAGATCATCTACGTCGAAACTAAGGTAATCATATAAAATAAATATTTTACTTTAGCTTAATCACGTTCTCGAGATTCTCAATCGTTTTTTTTAGTGAGAAAAAATAATAATATTATTTAATACTAATTTAAAAGAAATTAGCGAAAATACGCGTAAATTGACTAGGGACCTTACCCAAATTACTGAAATATATAAAAAAAATCTCAAGTATATTCATTCATAACCATGTCATTGCCATGCATGATGCAACGTAAGCAAATGGCTATCATATTACTGGCTCACCTGGGATATATGCTATTCTTTACAGCTTTCTGTCCATATTTTCTCCAACGAAACCCGTCGTCAAGTATATCATCGGCGCTCCTAGTCTGAAAGGCGAACCGAGGCCGGGTCGATTTTCCATTCCGACCACCAGCTCTTCTTTTAACCTTGTTGTTGTTCATGTCGTCTTCAGCCATAAGATTTTCTGTTGCCATAGAAATACCTTCTGATAATAATGGATTATGGAGCCCACTTGGAGAGGAAAGGAGGTTGACCCAATCTATATATGAAAGGACTTGATCAGGCTGTCGAGGAGGGTCCAATGAGGGTGCGAGGAGGTAGGATGTGGTGGTGGGTGGTGGCGGAAGTGGCGGTGGAGGGGCTTCTTCTTGTTGTTCCATGAGGAGGGGGGGGCTCCACTGGGAATGAAGAGAGAGGAAATGGGAATGTTTTGGATTGTAACTATGTAGCTTAAGGATAGTTGTGGAAGGTGGGAAGATGAGGAGAGTCTTGGATATCTGGTGTATTGCACCCAAGCTAAGCCCAACTTGGCAACTACATTTCAACTACTTCTGTTCAACTGCCCCAAGTTAAAAAGCAAACGTGCCCAGCATATGTATTAGTCGTTATTATCAAAGCACGCAGGATTATTGCACCGCTCTCTCTCTCTCTCTCTCTCTCTCTCTCTCTCTCTCTCTCTCTCTCTCCGCGTGTGTGTGGAGACAATGGTGACATCATTAAGTAGGACAAAAGTCTAAGTGCAGCGAAAATTTCTTAATTGATCGGATACTGTTTACCAACCGAGGAACAATCAAATAAATTGTGGCAACAAGAACGAAGTCTTCGTTCATATATTTTGAGATCGAATTTTGCCATTAAATTATGAGAAATTTATTATTTATAAATATTTTAATTTTAAAGTAATTGAACATTCTTTGATCAAATTAAAAAAAAAATTAATTGAACTATACATAACTTAACCCTGAATATCCCTAACCGTTAAATAAAAAAATAAAAGAACAACCAATTAGGAGAAAATAATCAATCCTACGATGTGAGCGCCACATAACACTGTTAGGTGATGTCCCATAAACATTGAATATTTTCTCGCCATATTGAAACTTGGTTTCCAAGGTTTGAATAATGTTATTTGAATCTTAAAGTTTGTCTTAATTTGTTGATATAATAATGTGATTTCATATGAGTTATTAGATTATCACAAAATTCTAATGTTTGATAAAATCTATAATGAATCTAAATGTCACAGTAAATTATGTTAATAAATTATGTCTCAATAGCATTGCTACCAACTTGGATCGACCCATACCCCATAGATCGACCCACGACCCTCTATGAGTTGACCCATAACCCATAGCCCACAATCACCCCGACCCATTTTCTGTGTATTTTTTTATTAAATATATTTTAGTTTTTGTGTTAGCATATGTGTGTATATTTTTGGTGTATTAGTATATATTTTAGTGTGTTTATTTTTAGTGCATTAGTTTGTATGCGTTTTGTTGTATTAATGTGTGTGTGTGTTTGTATTTTGGCGTACTATTAATGCGTGTGTGTATTTTGATGTATTAATATGTTCATTAAGAATTTTAATTATTTTATGGGTTAATCGGTTTAACCAAATCTGTTATAACCCATATACTATATGAGTGAAAAATAAATTGAATTTATTTTAATCCAATCCAATTTAACTCAACCCATAATCAACGTAACCCACCCATTTATCACATTTACGCCCGAGGTTTCCATCCTTGACCACGTTTTATTGACTATTTAGAATTATCCAAGTTTCCTAGAAGATTCATCTAAAGTTGTGGCAGGTACATTATAAAGTAGTTTTTGCTAGTCTAAGTTCTTGTGTTTATTTTTTTACATTTATTTTTATTTCATTTTATTGGGATTGTCATTGGAATACTGGTGATGATTAGTACCGGAACAGTCATCGACAATGATCCAAGTCAGCCGCATTATATTCACGTAGATCCTTAACCAATACATAATAGGCAATTTGAAATTAAATATATTATTAAATCTATTATTACTTAATTGATATCTCGTAACGCACCCACCACCAAAAAAACAAACAAACAAAAAAAAGAGGGTGCATCGGAAGGCTCGTAGCAGAGGATTACAGTCAGCAATAACCTTTTCATAACATTTGGCTGTAAATTGCTACCACAGTCACTGTATTCATGCAAATCCAGCAATCTTAAATGCGAAGTACTAATATGTAAGTTGTGAGAAAACAACAGTTAGTACATTAATCATTCTTGTCATGCTCTGTGATAGCACTCCTGTAACTTTGAGGCTCGTCAGTTGCAACTCCTAGTTATCGCAATAAGAGCCTATTTATAGTAACAAAACAAATAGATGTCGATTGGCTGCCATTAAAAAATTCTTCCCAAACTAACATCAACAGCTTACAATTTCTACAGCAAGCAGACATGAGACCCATCACCATAGTTTTTGTGTGTGTGTGTGTTGGGTTGGGGGGAGAGGGGAGGTGCTAGAACAACTTTGACCATCATGCAAAGATTTATCTACAACGTGCTTGAACGATTATCAGCAAATGAAGGAAAAAAAAAAGGTGATGAAGGTCATAATAAAGGCTTCACTAAATTCAGTGACCTCATTAAAAAAAGATCCAAAACTCAAACTTTGTACGACTCAATCAACAAAATTCTGTCGGCAAACTGCAGCTTAGACTTCCTATGGCCGCTTGAACTCTATATAAGAGGGTCAAAAACATTTCATTGTCTGGAATGAAAGAATATACATTCCAATACAAAAGCTAATACACATAATCCCTGGTTCTGGTACTTAAAATTTTTTATTGTAAGCTTGGAATTGAGAAGAAAACACCGTCAGCTAATGATCATCTTGTTAAGGAATTCAGCTTGCTCAGGAAAATACTCCAACAGTTCATCCTTGGTCACCCAAACAAAATCCTCACACATCTCGACATTAAACTTGTTGGTCGCAATCGCTTGAGATTTGAAGAAGCAGCGCTAACAAAATGATGGGAATAAAGAAGGGAAATGAGAGGAAACGACTATGCAACTTAATTGATATTCAGCAAAAAAGCCAAAGCCATAAAAAGCACATGATATAGTTTCTTATGAAAGAGGAAATTTATGGAGGAAGCTGTCAAAATTATGTTATCATCATACCCATTAGTTAGAGCCCATCTACCATGTAAATTCTGGTAATTTCCATACCTTGAACGATGAAATATGCTGCTCACTCTTCTGTATAACCATATGGCCCATTGGAGCATTTCCAACGAAGTAGGTGTGGGAGAGATCTCCAATAAAGAATTTTAACGCAGACTCTGCACATTGCAGAATTTGAAGTTCACATATTACTAAAAGAAGATGAGAAAAAGAGTAGTTAAGAGTACACAGCAACTATCACCTTGCACAATGCCTCCTCAGAATTGTAAACTTTTTCAGGAAAATGCCAGACAGGCTTCTCACTGGGAGCCTCATATGTGGTTCCATAAAGGAGGAGATAAAGCCTTCTGTCAAGAGCTCTTTGTAATGACCTTCAACAAAATAAGAGCAAGATTTTTGTAAATCATGGACAAAAACCATGCATATTCAAGAAAAAAAAGAGATGACATGTAAGATTGAAAACAAGATAGTTCGAGGTGCCGATGATTCAAATGAGAAAACTTAGTGGCCAATAATCAATTAAATCTTTATCAACTTCAAGGTAGTTTACAAATCTAACAACTACAGCAGCAATTTAAGATGGCGAATAGTGAATGTGCTTAAAGCAACAAGATTTTCTCAAATTCAGAGCCATGTTTCCTTCTAATTCATGCCAAGGAAAAAAGTTAATGATAATAAACCAACTTTGTACCTTCTATCATTAGTTTTGTCAGCTTCAGTGATCCGAGGAGCTGGTTTATAATCACCTTTGCCTCTGGTTACAAATAACATGCATTATAGTTGAGGAAAGCGGAAGTCCACGTATGCATTGTTTGAGAGAGAGAGATTTGTGTAAAAGCCACAACGACATGAAATTAGAAGTTACAAGTTGCAAGTAAACATATTCATACTTCATAGCAGCCACAAGACGCAAAACATGAGTCCATCCTTGGTGCCACAAGGCGAACATCATTTCGCACAAATATGGAAAAAAATGCAACGTCAGATTTATTTCTTGATGAGCAACACAGATAAACAACTACAATTGTGCTACACTCCCAACAAAATTCAACTAGCTTAAAGTATATTCAGCAACTAAAAACATGGACTACATGGTACAAGAGAGCCCTCAGCTTCTAAAGCAGCAGAAACCTGGAGAACTAAATTGATACAGGTCGTTGACCAAAAAATAATATTTGATGTAGATCGCTCGTACTGTATTTGACCGATGACTACATTTTTACATATTGATGGCAGCAGAAGGATCACAAAAACGGTGTGCATAGGACAACTTCAATTCTCCCAAGTCATATCTATTGGAAAAATTCAAGGAGAAATATACTCAAAAAACATGAGAAGGAATAAGTTGTGTATCATATCAGCTTGGAGCAAGGGCAGGGATACCATCCCTCTTGAGTGACGTATGCAAACTTTAAACAGGGAGAAAGAGGTACCATTCTTCGAACAAGCCTTGGAAACAATAACCAACCTATTAGAGAAAAAAAAATAAGACAAAGAAGAAGAAGAAGAACAAAAAGAATTACCACTAAGCAATTTCTCAAAAGATGAAGAAGAAATACTATTTAGCAATCAAGTCTTAGTTTTGTCTGCTTATACAATGAAGGACAGAAATATAGGTTGCCCATGAGGTGAAGCAAAGGTAGTTAAAGTGGAGAGATACTTCTCAAATATTTATTTTGTTGTTAAAGCAAAGGTGGTTAAAGTAGAGAGTTACTTATCAAATATTTATTTTGTTGTTGAAAGACATCAACCAAGTTGAGATATAAAAGGTAATTCAGCAATGTTTTTCAATGATGCTATTAAATGTTCAGTATATTCATTGACTGATGGGCTTCATGCTTCTAGGAATCAACATGACAATAATGATATCCAAAATTCAAGTCGGTATCGATCATGACAAAGTAAATATTAAAAAAATGGATTATGAATCCCATGAATATTTCTAAAGGATAGGGAAGGTTTGATGGAATAATCAAATGAAAAACCTCCCATGGTTATTTAAGAATATACTCGTACCAAAATTTCGTACACACAATTTCACAAGGGTTCATCACACCATTCCATCATACTTGGATTTTGAGGCTTGACTTATACAACGTATTGGGCATTTAATCAAAAAATGAATGGATTTGTTTCTCAAGTTTCTCTATAAACGAATAGATGAAATTCATTAAATTACAGCTAATTCAAAACTATATAGTTGTATATAGGGTGTATACACGCACGACATTTATACATGTATAACAAAATAACCACCTTCTTGGCATAAAAAAAGGGGGAAATAACAGCATGGACATTAAATTTGAACTAAAGATAGATACCAAGGTTCCCATTTCATTGCTAATACTTGATGACAAAAAAAAGGGATAAATTTCCTTCAAATGGTGAAATCAAGCAATATAAAAGATAGCAAATATGCAGGGTTTCATAGATTAATCAATTCAAAGCTTCCATGTGTATTCACAAGCATCAGAATGCGTACAGGGATTTCACCCTATCATTTACTATCATATTCTTTGATACAACATAAAAATATAAACTCAAAATTGGCAGAATCTCAGAACTCATCAAAAACTCAGTACCTACAAAATGGGAAATCAAGCAATATAAAAAATTTTACCTAGCATCCGATTCTTTCAAGAATTCCTCAGGATATGCACGTTGATATTACTGTCTCCACCGAAACCTAAATAGGAATAAAACAATGAATACATAGCAAACCTAGAATTAGCAAACACAAGAACTAATGAATAACTAGCAATCAATGTGACAGCAGAAAATGAAATTAGATTCGAAATCGTAGATTCCTCCTGTTTCAATTTCCAAATTTGTGAAAGTTCAAAATTCTAATTAGCTAACGAATTTAAAAAATCGAGCATTGAACTTTCAAAATTTCTATTCGAATTCCCACATATTCTAAGGAGCTAAACAGAGAAATACTAAGCAAGACTGACGATAACTCTTAAAATGCGTAAACAACAGAATCAATTTTAAGAATAACGATAGGTAGTCTCTCAAACGTTGTACACGATCTTTCCATTTCCACAATCTAAAATAAAGCAAAATAAATGTTGGAGACTGCTATTACGATTTATAAGCAGAGAGATATTATGTTTATGCTGTATAGTATATGATAAGACCTGTGAGGGGATTGTATGTGTTAGCTGATTTTATTGGGCTTAACACGTACAAGCCCTTCCGCGCTGTACTTCAATTAAGCCAATAACGCCCTTTGCCCGTAAAAATATACACTCACTCCCACGCGGCCACTTTTCTTTTGAAGTAGCGTCTAGTATAAGGGACTCTGTTTTCAAATTCGATCTCCTATTTCCAGAGTAAAACGAACATGAGACTCGCAGCATCCAAACAGCAAGACCTCTTCCGCCTCCTAAAACAGCAAACCACCAAAGACCACCCTTATCACATCCGCCACCTCTCCACCGCCGAACCCACTCACCCACCACCACCACCACCACCACTTTCTTTCGACCCATCATTCGTTACACAAGTAGTCACTCTCCTCCAAACCACCGACACCAATGACTGGACCACCAACACCACTCTTCACCATCTCCTCTTTCTCTCTCCTCATTCACTGTCTCCTCTCTCCCTCCTCCGCATCACCCGTGGCTTGGGCTCAACCGCCAAAGCCCTCCAATTTTTCGACTATATTCGCACAACCTCACCGTCCCCACCGGACCCTCTTTCTCTTTCCTCCACTTTCCAGGCCATTTTCGAGTTCGCAAGTCGAGAACAACCCGACTCAGCCACCAAGCTCTATGAACTTTTCACCAGCTCAAGAGATCAAAGCATTCCTCTTTCAAAGAATTCCGCAACCCTTCTTATCCGATTCTTTGGCCGGGCCAGAATGGTTGAAAAATCGCTTATTGTATACAAAGAACTCGACCCAGATAGAAGAAATATCCATGTGCGTAATACAGTAATCGATGTTCTGCTGCGATCAGGTGGAGTTGACGAGGCCGTTAAAGTGCTCGATGAAATGCTTGATAGAGAGTCGAAGTATCCGCCGAATGAGAGAACACTGGATATTGTTTTGGCCGGGATGTTGAAGTGGAATTGGAGTGGGAGGAGTGTGAGTGAGGAGGAGATTGTTGGTTTGGTTTTGAAATTGGGGGAACATGGTGTGTTTCCTAATAATGTGTGGTTAAGTCAATTAACTACTAGGTTGTGTAGGAGTGGTAAGAGTAATAAGGCTTGGGAGTTTTTGTATGATGTGAGGAGGTTGGGTGGTGCTGTGGAAGCTGCTTCTTGCAATGCCCTTTTGACAGGTTTGGGCAGAGAGCATGATTTTGTGAGGATGAATATGCTTTTAAGGGAGATGAAGGAAGAGAAAATTCAGCCGAATGTTGTAACGTTTGGAATTCTAATTAATTATCTGTGTAAGCTCCGTAGGGTTGATGAGGCATTGGAGGTATTCAAGAAGATGAGAGGCAATGAAAGTGATGAAATTTCCGTTGAACCGGATGTTGTGCTTTATAATACTTTGATTGATGGATTATGCAAAGTTGGGAGGCAAGAAGAAGGCTTGGGTTTACTGGAACAGATGAAATCACGACATGAAAGTGCACCTAATACTGTTACCTACAATTGCTTGATTGATGGTTTTTGCAAGGCTGGTGAAATTGAGAGGGCCCATGAGCTTTTGGATCAGATGTACAAGGAGGGGGTGATGCCAAATGTGATTACACTTAATACTTTGGTTGATGGCATGTGTAAGCATGGGAGAATCAATAGTGCAATGGATTTCCTTAATGAAATGCAGCAAAGGGTCTGAAAACTAATGCAATTACTTACACTGTCTTGATTAGTGCTTTCTGCAATGCCAACAATATTGATAAGGCTATGGCATTATTTGATGAAATGTTAAAAACCGGATGTTCTCCAGATGCAATTGTGTACTACTGCTTGATCTCTGGTCTAAGCCAGGCGGGAAGGGTCGATGATGCTAGCTTTGTGGCATCAATGATGAAGAAAGCTGGGTTCGGCTTAGATATTGTAAGCTACAATGTTCTGATTAGTGGGTTCTGCAAGAAGAATAAATTGGAGAAAGCTTATGAGATGCTTAAGGATTTGGAGGAAGCTGGAGTGAAGCCTGATAGTGTTACATACAACACTTTGATTTCATATTTCAGTGAAACTGGAGATTTTAGGACAGCCCATACGTTGATGAGGCGGATGGTTAAAGATGGTCTCGTGCCCACTGTTGTTACTTATGGAACACTGATTCATGCATATTGCTTGGTGGGCAATCTTGACGAAGCAATGAAAATTTTTACAAACATGAGTTCTGCATCAAGGGTATCACCCAATACCGTTATATATAATAATCTGATAGACTCTCTCTGCAAGAATAAGAAAGTAGAAATTGCTCTTTCCCTAATGGATGATATGAAAACCAAGGGAGTGAAGCCAAATACCAACACATACAATGCCATGTTCAAAGGCCTTCAGGAGATAAACTGGTTGGAGAAAGCACTCCAACTTATGGATCAAATGACTGAACAGGCTTGTAATCCCGATTATATTACTATGGAAGTTCTTACGGATTGGCTTTCTGTTGTGAACGAAACAGAAAAATTAAGAAATTTTGTGCAAGGGTATGAAGTGTCTGCTTCAATTGCATAGTGGTTGCCGGAAGGAGAGGCTAAGATTCTTAGTTCAGTTGTACCAGTTGGCAATCTACCTTTAGTCATTTCAGTATTTGATGTTATCGTGGCTAATTTGTTTGAAGCACATTGACTAAATCATATGCTTCGAAAAAATGTCCACAGGGTCCATCTTCTAGCAAGAGTAAGCACAGCAAGGCAGAATAATTACTTGGGCATCTCGAGATGCTGACTAGTATTCACCCGGGACTGTAGGTGAATTGCTACCGATAATCTTATGTGTTAAACTATTAAGTTGTGTTTTTGACAGTTTTGTACAAGTTCCTATGAATTATATGTTTAGCTATGAAAATTCAACAAAATTTGGTAAAATATACAGGCTGAGATTCAATTCATCCTTTGTTTTTTTTTTTTGCCTATATCGCCTCTTTCGTTTTGATCCTAGTATGTTGATGAGGTAGTTTATTTTGTCACTAAAACTATCCGCTGGTCCTTGTATTGGGGGCCCAATTCATGATTCTACATCAGCTTTTGTAGTTGATGACTCTGAGCATTTCAGATACCACCAAATGTTGCTACAGTGGCTCGGGGTTTTCCAGTGTTGGTACACGGCTTGTCTCCTCAGAAAGAAGCCGATGATGCAGCATGACAATTTTTTTTTTCTCGTCAAAAAAGGGGTGGGCGTGGGTGTAATAGAGAGCATTTAGAAACCATTCAGATATATTATCATCGGTAGGATTATGAAGTCCCTGATCACAGTCATTATTTCTCTCGTGAATGAGCTTATTTAGGTTAGTATAGTGATCAATCACCGAGTTCTAATGTAAACTATAAAATTAAAATCTTTAACCTCAAAGTAAGAAATTTAATGGGTGGTGACAAAAGTAATTCTTATTGGTCTGACATGACATTTCAATTACAACGGTGATTTATTGCCACAAACTTACTCTCTCACTTTTCCTAGATGGCAAGCTGATGCATTGTCAATTACATTATATAGTGGTACAAAATGGTCGCTTCTCTTTGGGGACATTCCATTTGAAACCTACAAATTCTTAATTTTTGTTATGGTTTAACAAGATGTTTGCTTGCACGCATTTTGATTTTTTTTTTTTTCTGATCTGATTAAATGCAAGTAATCTACGTAAGATTAGAGTATTTATAAGGGATAAATTTTTTATAACTTATCTTTTAAAAGATTGTCAATATTCAAACTTAAGATATTTAAATTTATAATTTATTTTTATTATGGCTCGAGTTACCTTGAGTTGGAACCCACAAATTCAACTGGTAATTCTATATTCCTTATAATAATGGTTTGAAAAAATTTCATTCACGCCTTCTATAAATATACCTCACTTCAATGATCTCTTACCGTTTCGGAAATTTCACTGACACCCCTTTATCAGTGTCGATGCCCCTAATCCACTCTTCCTTGCCCACTGTCACCTCTTTTGCCATCGTCTGTCCCTCCACAGCGTCATTCGACACCCTCCTCACATCACCCCCTACTCTTTATTTCTCTCCCCCCCCCCCCCCTTCTCTCTTACTCTCCACAAACCCCTTCCATCCGTGTCAACATAGGGCCAAAAAAATATCAAATTGATTTCGGGGTTTTGTGATGGGTGTTGATGCAAGGGTTGTGGCAGTGGATTGGTGGTGGTGGGTATGTGAAAGCTTATTGTTGACAGTACGTGTGTGTGCACGTTGTGGGAGTGGTTAATGTCAAGTGGGTTTGGGACAGATTAGGCATGGGTGTGGGGCTGAGTGGAGACTGAATTCTCTCTTTTTCTCTCCAGCAAACCCTTTCCAGCTGTATTGAGATAGGAGCAAAAAAAGTTCAAATTAATTTAGGGGTTTTGTGATGGGCATTGATGCAAGGGTTATGGTGGTGGGCATGTGAAAACTGGCAGTCGACGGTGCGTGTGCATGCACATTGTGGGAGTGGTTGATGTCAAGTGGGTTTGGGACAGATTGGGCATGGGTGGCCGAATTTAGAGCTTTGTTGGATGGTTTGTGCCTAATTAAACAGTATTGTTTAATTGGGTACAAATTTATGATTCGATGGTACTTGTTAATATTGTTAGAGATGGGCTGGAGTGTTCATGGCCCAGTTTTGGTTTTTTGGTAAAGATGAAGGAGATTTTGGGGAGAATGGATTCGCAGCTTTTTCATGTGTATAGAGAAGTGAATGGGGTGGCTGATAGCTTGGCTAACAGAGCTGTGAGAGATCGTTGTTCTTCAGATTTTTCTTGCTCTAGTTTGCTGCCGAAGATGGTAAAATTGCTATTGATGCATGATCAAAGGAGGAGGCTGCCTGTTGCAAGAGTTAAAAATGTGGTCATTTTTTATGATAAATGATAGAAAGCAGGTGGTGCAGGGTTGCAGTGCAAGGTCTTGCTTTGGAAGTAAAGTTTTTGTTTTTTGATATGTTTTGAAGGATTAAAGTCATTACATTGATGGTGTGTATAGGGATTTTTCCCTTTTGCTTCTTGTGATTCTTTGGTTATTTCAAATAAAATTTTTTGATTTTTAAAAAAAAAAAAAGAATTTGTTGGACTTGGTGTTTGCTGCTATATCAGTCCCTAATTTAATTTAGTATTCATATGGGCTTTCAGGCTTTCAACTCTAATTTGGATTTTCGTTAAATATAATAATTTCCTCACCAATTATTTTGTATTGAAAAAAAAAAGAATGTTGTGTATTTGGTTTAGCTGGTCTGTGGTGGTGCCAAAGTAGTGGTGTTGTGGAGACGAAGGTGCATTAGAAGTGGTGCGAAGAAGAAAGGGGTAAAATTGGTATTTTTGAAGAAAAACAAGATGACATCATCACTTTTTTAGTTGTCAGCAATGGTTTGTCGGGGCAAGGGGTGTAGATAAGGGAGTGCAATGAAATTTCAGAATCGAGAAGGGGTGTCACTGAAGTTAGGCCTATCTATAAGGGGTGTGGATGAAATTTTTCCTAATGGTTTTGCTTTCTTAACACATCCTATCATCTGTGGTGGCTAAGAAAGCATAAGCGAATTGTTTTCATGTCCTGTTGTATCAGGGAAAAAGGCCTTGTCTTGTTATTTTCAATGTACTTAGCGATGAGAACGACATGTTCACTTGTTTCAAGAAGGTTGCTGTTGGGATAGAGTTACTGGGATAAAAATGTGAACCTATTATGCTTATGCATTGAAAGGGTGATTAATTCACATAGTAACCGTAACCCACAAGAATGCGCGGCGGATGTGATTCTTTTGTAGTCCTTGGATGTTTGCCTCTTAAGGAAAAAATCTTTAAATTTTCATCTTGGTTATGCTTTTACTTTCAACCATTCCCATTTGAATAAATTTAAAATTTCAATATTTTCTTTATGTTTACTCTACTGACTAATAATCTATCTTCAAGCAGGTTTAATTTCTTGTCATTGTGAATATTTAATGAGTGGAGTAACTTTCTGTTGTGATTGTCCTGCGGATGTGGGGTGATGATGTCAAAGCTCTACATTTTTGCATCTGGTACTATTTATAATGAGGTAACTTAAATTCCCTTGTATTGTTTTAATTTACAAATCATCATTTTTGCATTAATCTAATACCAGTTTTAACAAGCAAAGATGTTCTCAGGTTTCCATGAACGAATGATCATTCTACCTATTTCTTGTAAGTGTTCTTATAATGGTTGCTTAATGATGCACCATTCGCTGTAGGTGTATTTAAGTATGGCAAAAGCTTTTTATCTGGGTTTTCTGCCTTCCTCCTCCCTAACCCTTCTGTGGCTTTTCATATCTAGCCTTTGTTCAAGGTTTGGACTAAGTTTTCTCGTTATCTTCCCTATTGACAGTTGAGACACATGTGACATGATTTGTAAGGAAATTGAACATTCTGCCATGATGTATGATATTAGCATCATGGTGGTGGTTCTTGAGACCTTGTATTATGCGGTCAGTCACAAGATGTCAATGAAGTGATGTGTTACTGCAATGGATGATTTTGAATACTAAGTTAATCTGCTTTACTCAAGATCACTCATACATTAGGTTTCTTGACTGTCCATTGTAGGTATTATTGTTGTTTTGTAAAATTTTGGCCAGTCAATTTCAGTTTAGAGGAGTGTTTAGATGTAGACCTTTCAGTGATGTGGTTCAACTTGGACCTAGCATGAATACCATCTCGTATGTTGTCAATGGTGCTGATATGCGTTTAACTAAAATCATGCTGAAATTTTCTCTTGATTGCATCCTTGTACTAGTTACCAATTCTTACCTTTGTGTTATGTTCTTTACCTTTTTGTGAAAGAAGCTTATGATGTTGGCCCTTGTTTCAAATTTGGACAATATCTTTTAATTCGAGTTTTGTATAACCTTATGATGTGTTATGTTCATGGTCTTCCAATGGATTGAAACTGGTGTCTATCTCTTTAATCGTAGGTGGCTAAGAATATTCTGAACTTCTACTAGTATAATTGTTTCCCAAGCTATTAAAGCCTCGGATACAACTATTTTATATGATGATTTGGTTTGTTGGTAATGAAGCGCTCACAGAGGCGACTCAATAACATGTGAGACCTAAGGTGATAAGTGTCATTGAGACGTTTTATTTTCTAAATAATAATTTATTTTTTAATTTAAAATTTATTATTTTTACTGATTGAGTTTCAAATTTACTAATTAAATTTTTTTATTCAAATTTTGCTAAAATATTTTTTTGATTGATTGTATGACTTTGATCATAGATATTTAAGGGAATGTAATCTATTATTTCATTAATATTTTCTGTTCTTCTTATTTGTTTTGTTTGTCCTTCATCGAAATTGTGGCATAATTATTTATATGATGATTTGTTTCCTATGTTAATGCAGTGCTCATAGCGATGACTCAATAGCATGAGAGGCCTAAAGCGATAAGTGTCAGTGAGACTTTTTATTTTCTTAATAATAATTTATTTTTTGATTTAAAATTTATTATTTTTACAGTTTGAGATTGAAAATTACTAATTAAATTTTTTATCCAAATTTTTGGTAAAATATTTTTTCAATTGATAGTATGACTTTTGATCATAGATATTTAAGGGAGTGTAATCTATTGTTTCATTAATATTTTTCTGTCCTTCTTATTTATTTTGTATGTTCTTCATCGAAATTGTGGTATTACATAATTGACTTTAT